TACCTATAGTTACTCGCACACATCCCACACGGCATTTGGTAAATGATAATATTTTGTGAATGACTTAAAGTGGTTGAATAATGAATATTTGACTAATAATATTATCGTAGTACGGGCTAGGCGATCTGAATTCGCCAAGTGTATTTTATTTGTGTTTGTTTTTTAAATATAATAAAAGTGTTTCCGACCTGAAAACCCGAGTTACAATTATTTAAGTCATTCTTAAGTTCTTACCTTTAATAGGAGCAGCGCCGGGATATACTTACTATGTGTCAATGAGGTTTTATTAAACTGAATAGTGCCAAGGTATATGTAATCTTTGAGTCATTTTACTAGATTGGAAAGAACTTAGGATTGACAAACGCACACCATCGTACATTCGTACCTCCAAGTTAACAGTGCCATTCTAATTAATTTTAGAGAGTGTCATTAGCTAGAGAATACGAGGGTGAGGCGTATAGTAGGTTTACTGCGTATTATCCAATACGGGACATACGACAGAGTGGCGCCCAACGGGGTTACTTATCCACGGTCGGAGTTATTTTTTGATTTTTTGTGCACTGGTACCTCAACCTTGGCAATAGTTTTAATTTTCGTGAAATGTTTAAGTACGAGAAGTACGACAATTGTGAACGTTTCGGGTAGTAAAACCCGGAGCGAGTTTCTGTTAAAGTAAAATATACCTTTTGTGTTTTGGGTGCAGTAGAAACCCAGAACGCAATTTTTGTGCGTGTGTATACCGAGTGAGTAACACATACGCGTTCGATTTTTGTCTGACCGACAAGACAGCTGCAGTTTTGTGCCGCGTGGTACAATCTTTTGCAACCGTGCGTCTACAAGTATACGCCAAGGTGAGCAACGTTTTCTAATATATTAATATTAGGATTATAGATTAGATTTTTCTTAAAACAATTTAAATAGAATTTTAGTTCAATAATTTTTCAAAATTTTTTCAATTTTAAATAACCGCAAAATTTTAATTTAAGTTTTAAACAAGTTGATTAGGTTTTTTGTAAAGAAACTATTTAAATAGGATTTTTTTTTCTCTCTAATTCTCTTTTTCTTTTCAAAATTTTTATTCGATATAATATAACCGCAAAAATATTTTAATTTAAGTGATATACTTACGTATTAATATTAAGATTGTAGATTAGTTTCTTTTTAAATTTAAATATGATTTTTTTTCTCAATAATTTTTTTAAATGTTTATTCAAGGTGGTGCAGAGAAAATCCGAGAGAAAAAAATGAAACTTTTGGCATCAGTAGGAAAAAAATGTACCAAAATGTATGATTTTTTCAAAGTAAAAAATGATACACACAACTCATCAAATAAGGAGCTTACAGAATCTACTGGTAATAATTAATATAATTTATAAAATTAAATAAAAATAATAATAATTTAATAACTAACAATAAGTGTATCGGTAGGTACTTATTAATTTATACCTACTATTTGATGATAAATACCATCATAAACTTTTTACTTAATCTCGAATTTGTGTACATACAATTTAAATTATTTACATTTTACAAATAATCATAATAGATATATATAGTTTATAAAGTACATTTATTTGTTAGCATACAAATTCAATTTTTGTTTAAATTGTTTGTATTTGAATATATTTTATAAATTATAATTAATAGGTACCTACTAACTATGTAAACAAATTTAACATTGAATATTATTAAAATATGCACAATGTACCCTTGTATACCTAAGTATTATAATAAAATAAGTAATTCGGTTTGGTTTTTTTATACAATCTGATTTTGGTTTATAATTTATTAACTATTTTAAAGGATCAAGTACTGAAGTCACTGAACATAGTATAAAAACTGATCAGGCTTCTGTAGGAAATGACAATTTATCATTAACAAATTCTTTTGTGAAACAATTAGGAACAGAATCTACAGGTAAAAATAATTTTTTTTTAAATTATTATTGGAAAAAATATTAAAATGTTAAATTAATACAAATACTTATATCATACATTTTTTATATAGTTGGAGAGTTATTTATACATACCGGTGCTGAAGTCGCTAAACATAGTATAAAAACTGATCAGGCTACTGTAGAAAATGACAATTTATCATTAACACATTTTTTTGTGAAACAATTAGAAACAGAATCTACAGGTAAATATAAATAATTTTTAAATTATTATTGGAAAAAATATTAAAATATAAAATACAGAATGAAATATTTATAATATTATAAAATGTTATACTTAAGGTCAAACTTCTAACATAAACGATCCAATTCATTGTCTACCTACCAACAGACTTGAACTGAAAGAAAGAATACTCAAAGGGCCTTATCGTCCAGTTTTGTCATTATTCACAAGAACTAAACAAGGACAATATTTCCGGTCATTTCAAGAAGGTTGGTATAAAGAATTCAAATGGCTTGAATATAGTATTGTAGCTGACACAGTATTTTGTTTTCCTTGTCGCTGTTTTTCTGGTAATGAGGGAAACTCAAGTCAATTAGAATATGTTTTTTCTAAAATTGGTTTTAAAAATTGGTATAGAGCTATAGATAGGTTCAAAAAACATAAACAATCAAAAGCTCATATTAACAGCGGCACAGCGCTAAATCATTATCTGAATTTTTAAATTCTAAATCTATTGATGAAATAATAGATTCTAACATGAAATTAGTTGTGCAAAAACGTGAGATTGAACAGTCTAATAATCGTAAAATTATGGAACGGTTAATAAATATTACAATATGTCTTGCTAAAGGAGGACGACCATTTCGTGGCCATAACGAAAAAAATGATAGTCACCAGCAAGGTCTCTTCAGAGAATTAGTCAACTTATTATGTTTTGAAAAACCATGTAAATTTTGGACCTAAAAATGCTCAATATATTAGCAATGGAATTCAAAATGACATAATATTTTCAATACATAAAGTTTATTGAAAAAAATTCAGAGTAATTTACAAAATTCTTATGTTTCAATTATTGCTGACGAAACAAGTGACATTGAACATGAAGAACAATTGTCAATAGTTGTTCGTTATTTTGATTCTGCGACTTATCGGCCAGTTGAAAGTTTTATAACATTAAAAAGGATGATTTCTGTTACTGCTAATTCAATTTTTCAAACTGTAGATGATGTTCTAACTATTGAATTAGGGTTACAATGGACTTCAATACTTTCAGTATGTTTTGATGGTGCATCAACAATTGCAGGGAATATTGGAGGAGCTCAAGCAAAATAGTATATTTTAAGTCAGTATGATAGATCTTCCATTTTCAAGCAATTTTTTTGTTGTCTTAAGATGTTTACAATCATTCCTGTTACGAGCTGTACTTGTGAGCGTACGTTTTCGAAATTAACTATTGTCAAGAACAAGTTAAGGAACACTTTATATCGGCCAAGAAAGATTGAATGCTTTACTTTTTTTATTTGTTGAACAAGGACTAACTAATAGTTTTGATGTAAATAGTGTGATTAATGAATTTAAACACTCATTCCCAATTAAACGTCGGCTTGTATTATAATAATAAAGAATAATATTAATATTTGATATATTGTTAATTTTGATATGGTATATCGGTGTTGAGCAAAAACAATCTATGATTAACCAATGATTATCGTTTAAAATAGTTTTATTTACTTAATGGTCAACGGTTAAAATTTGAATTTGTGCTTAAAAATGTTAACTGTAACTACATGTATGGGCCGGTTAAAATATTTGACTTGAAACTCTGCAGAAGAACAAAGAACAAGAACTCCCTCTTTTGCCTCCTAGTCAGCCCCGACGCCGAACGATACATCGATGTTTTAAACTAAAATAATCGTTGTTTGGTTAAGTTTCGATGTTTTGCATCGAGGTTTATGTTAACCGATGTTTTAATTTCGATGTTTGCCTTGTCTTCGATATTTCATAAAATAAATATTTTTAAAATTGTTCAGTTCCTAACATAATATTATAGATATAATTTATGATTGAATATAAACATGATAAGGAAAACATCTAGAAATTCGCTAAACTAGACCGGTTTAAAATTATCCGTGTGATATGAAACATGTAAACTCATCCCGGTGCATTATTTTTCACACCGGTTTAATCTAGCGAATTTGTAGCAAGTCAGAATGACTGGACTTTGATCATAATTCATAATAATATTACTTATCCCATAGAAATCTGATTGATTGATGAAAATTTCTATAATGCCTAATTATAGGAACAAACTAAAATGACACTAAAAAAAGTAAAAATTCCCACTGACCGGTGAATACCGGTAATATCGTCTAATATAATATATTTTTATATTATTTTATACATGCTTTACTCATTTGTACTCATAATTCATAATCATAAACACGCGAACCGTACGTCCGTGCTCTGTGACTGCTCTTATTTCTTAATGACTTCAAATTTCAATAAACAATAATACAGTACCATTTACCGCGAGAGTGTGTTTTTAATTATTGTAATTGAACTGATTAATAATTAATGAATATATAATATAATATAATGTCTAAAACTAAATCGGAAGTTTGGAAATATTTTGAAAAAAAAACTAATGGCTGTGCAATGTGTAAAGTCTGTGGTAAAATACTAAGAACTTCTGGCAACACTTCAAATTTGATGGGACATTTAAATAAGATGCATAAACTACCACATGATACAAATTTTAAATTTCTAAATAAAAAAGAAAAAGTAAGTACATTTTAAACGATAATTTTTACAAAATAAAATTCACCTTTTTATCTTTATTCAATAAGATATCAAGTGTATTAACTATAAGATTTAAAAGAGATAAAAAATAAAAATATAATTGTTCTTATTTATACATTATGATATATTTTAGTCAAATTATAAAACTTTTCTATTTAAATTTAAATTTATATTGATTTCGTTGAGCTAAATTATTTATTGTCTGTTTCAACTATACTTGATCCTAGATTCAAAAACATACATTTTAAAGATTCTGTTGCACTTTCAAAACATCTAAGGTTTATAAATAGTTCAATAAATGGTATGGTAAGTTTACCAGCAGAAGAAGATTACCATTCAACTGACTCTGCCTCAACTTCAGAATCTGGTACTATAGACTTATGGGGACATCATAAACAATTGGCCCAAAAATCTTTAAAAAAGTATGTTGATAAAACTAATATAGGAAATCAAAAACATTTAGGACCTGAATTAACCATGTATTTATCTACACCTGTATCATCATTAAAAACTGATCCATTGATTTCTAGGGAAGAATTAAAACCCCTGTATCCATTTATATATAATTTAGCCTTAAAATATTTATCCGGTGTCTGTACGTCTGTCCCAAGTGAAAGGCTTTTTTCTTGTGCTAGTAACACCATATCAAAAACAAGAAACCGATTATGTGGGAAATCGGCATCGAAATTAATTTTTTTAAACAATCTGGACGATCAATTTTGGCCATAAATGTATAATAATTAATAGGTACCTACCTACTTTTCTATATAATTTAAATTTAATTTTTTATGTGTTTTTTTTTTAATTTTTCCAATAAATAAAATAAAGAGTTGATTATGTATATTTAAATTTTAATATAATTATATGTATATTTTTATATAATATATTATAATAATTAATTTTATCCTATGTTTGACATCAGGCTGCGGGGTGTTCTGTTTGTGCTGAAAATAATGATTAGGTATATTACTGATTGTTGTGCCTACGCTGTTGTTATTGTTATCAATAATTGTCTTGACGGGTTGGGGGCGATGTGCGCCTAGCCCGGTGATGCTGGTTGAGGAAAGGTGACTAGACTAAACCGGTGTGAAAAAAAATGCACCGTATGGACCATAATATCATTTACATGGTTCATTATCCCGGTGCGGGATAATATGGGATAATTTTAAACCGGTTTAGTCTAGCGAATTTCTATATTTAAATAAAAAAAACAAGCCGCTGTGTTTAGATATGAATTTAATCGGTTGCGAAGTGGTTTTCACAGGTAACGAGCGATTATTATTACAATCGGAAAAAGAAACAATATGTCGCTAGTATGCGGTGGTCTAACGGGTCGCGTACTAGCGTACAGTCTACGAGCGGGGTAGTGTTCGCGTTGCCGTGACTGGTAAAAGATAGAGAGCCGGCGCGCGGAGCCGGTTGCCCGTTGCACCGTTCCAGCCATAAACCTATAAAGTTTATAGGTCTATGGTTCCAGCGTTCCAATGCCGTTGTCGGCCGGTGCGCTGATAGAAATTCGCTAGACTAAACCGGTGTGAAAAATAATGCACCGGGATGTTTGGACCATATCATTTACATGGTTCATTATCCCGGTGCGGGATAATGTGGGATAATTTTAAACCGGTTTAGTCGTCCTACCGTGATTGGTAAAAGCTGGCGCGGCGGGAATGCGACGTTTGAATTCAAACGCCGGTTCCCGGGTCCGCGTCATGTGTTTAGGTTATAGGTTATAGTCAGGTCGATGTATTGTATAATATTACTTCCGACAGTCGTTTCTGCAGTTAGCAGAGCAGTTAGCTCTGCAACGGTGTCATTCAAATCGTTCAATTTTTTTTCCATGTCGGCCTGCTCCTGTAGGATTGATGTCTGTACTCTATGGATCATAAACATCGAGTTATACATATTTCTCTCGAACGTTTTGATTCGTAATATGCATGATGCAAAATGATGCTGAAAATCAAATAAAAACCGTTTATCAGTACCTACCGCGATATTATGATCCCTCGTTAGATTGTTCTAAAGTCGTTATTTGTTTCATACTTGCATGTCTCTGAACGCCCTTTCTACCGCGTTTGATGCGTATACAATTATCAGTAGGTCACAGTTGAAATTTACTTATCTTTATGATATGTAAATTATTGAACTATTAATATAGGTTGAAATTTACCAATATAATATAATGCGTGACTTGTAATTATTTCATATTAGTTACAACTTACAGATTAATAGTTAAATGTACAATAGTTAAAAGTTAGTGAATTTCAACTGTTACTGATACTTAAATTTACAAACTCATAAGTGTAAATATGGACTTGTGGTAAATAATAAATATATTTACCTACCTATGTGTTACCAGTGAATAATGACTTTCACAAAACAAAATATACCTATAATAGCCAATAGCACTAGTAAGTTTCCAAAAACATTAAGTGAAATAATGATCTATCATTCACATAATGTGTTTGGGTCCCCCCCGATTTTTATTTACAATTATTTTAATTGCCTTACTGAACCATCTTGTATTTTTGAAACTCTTTCATAAAAATTCAGAGCCGTGTTAAGGGGGGGGCAAAGGGGGCAATTGCCCCCGGGCGCCATAGTTTTGTAAAAGTAAGGGGGTCGTTATTTGAGCTTAATATGCTACTTGGAGCCCAAATTGTAGGGAAAGGGCTCGAATTACCCCGGGGCGCTGAATTGCTTGACACGGCAAGATACGCCGAGCTATTGCATTTTAATATGTACCCACATAACACCTATGTACTATATTTTGTTTACCTCTAAATCGTCTAAGTATTTTCTTTCTTCATCCATCCTTTTCTTCTGTGATCGGGTGTACAAATAATATCCCAATGAAAATGAAATTCCGATTCCGACCGCAGCAATCGACAAAATGTATTTTTTATCCATTTTTCTGAATCAAGAGTTTTTTAGTACAATTTGGAAATCGGTTAAATAGTACAGCGGCATGGCCATAGATACAGTGTATATTGAAAAATAAGAAATCGAACAGCTGTGCTACCGCACGACGCCAATGACCGTGGGACATTGTAAGAACGGCCCTAAGTTTACTAAATTATAATTACCTTGGTATAGAGAAACCATCTATAGCTTAAATATGTGATACGCGCAAAGGGATAGTAGCCGATAGATGGCGCATTCCTAAATTTGTCGCGGATAGCAAATGCAGTATGATCATATCAATGATACATATTTATTGTATATATTTAAAATACTGTAAAATTAAATTGTACATAGAGCGCCAAAAATGTAATTTGAAAAGAACACGGATATATATTAGAAGAAAAGATGAACTATTAATATTAATTTCTCTATGTAGGTATTTAAAAAATAATTTAACGAACTTTGTTAATTCGTTGACTACTTTGGTAATTCGTTAACGATTAACTTTTGGATTTATTAGTGTTATAAATTTCGTCAGTGATTTTCCTAAATTTTTTGTTAATTACAAATTTTAAATTTATTAATAAATATGCCTGGTGGAAGCTGCAATTTTTCGAACTGCAAAAATAATAGGTCAAATTGTAAAAAAAAATGTATAGATTTCCTACAGATAGAGAAAGGTGTAGACAATGGATTCTTAATTCAGGTAAGTTTAATACATTTTAATTGAAAGAATTAAGATGGATGTAGTATAAATAAGGTATTATTTTTATAGGAAACATGGTATTAGATGGTTTATCGCCGAAAAAAATTAAAAATAGGTATCTGTGTGAAGATCATTTTAATGAATATGATTTCACCAGACCAGATCATAACAGGCTTATGTCTGGAGCCATCCCTGTGAAGTTTAATGCAAATATTAAGTTTATTATAACTCAACTAAAATTGTCTGTACCTAGTTAAATATATACAGAAGTTTTTATAATAATTAAACTTATCCTTTTAAATATATCTAGACAATGAAGATATAATATCAAAAGTGTCACAAAAGACACCAGTTAAGAGAAGGATTACATTTCATAAAACAGGTAAATAATATATATAGCATCCACAATTATCGTCATAAAATTTTTTTTTATTCAAGCTGTTGAAAATGTATTTCAATACTTGACATGTTTCTTTTTTTTTTAATTTTGCATTATTTTGGAAAATACATAATTATTAATTTTTAAACACATACCTACTCCAAGTGTTAATGTTTTCTATTTAAAAAAAAATATTATACACTGTGTGTCCTCGAAAACTGGGTAAACTATTTAACTAAGTTACCTATACATGATTACTCCAGTACCCTAAACATATTTTAGAATTCTATCAGTGAGAGATTGATTATGAAATAGTGTAATTTTATGTCTTGCAACTAGGATTCAAAAATATGTATAGGTTATTAAGTAATATGGATAATTTAATTATACATTGTAAATGGTTTTCGTTAACACATGGTATATGCAATTGTTATTCTCAAAGTATACATACTTTGATTATTGATATTTCATAAAATTATACAAACACTTATAAGAAAACATAACATTAACCATATTATCTACCAGCTACCACTTAAAGTTGTTTTATATTTTTATGAAAATATGAATTTGGCAGTAGGTGTTAAATATTAGATTGTAATGTAGTTTGTACCAAGTGGCCATGATACATTTAGCATTTAGCTAAAGAATTTATAGTATGAAACATTAGTCTTATTACATTTTCCTCACAAAAAAGGTGATATAGAAGTAAACGTTACCTGATTAAACATCTAATACAATATAATATACTACTGACTACAGAGTACACAAATATAGTGGAGACTGGTTAATGTCTGTTTATACTAATAAATATAAATTACATTTTTACAATAACTATATTTTAAAATAATGCATTATTACTTATTATTCATTAAAAAAAATTAAAAATTAAAACAAATTACTTGTCATTACATGTTATACATAAATACAAATTTCAATAAAATAAAAATTACATTCTTGTTATTTGTAGGAGAAGAACACATAAATGTATTTCAAAAGAGTCCTTTTGGTGATAAAATGATACAGGACTTTTCACCAAAAGAACTGAAATTAATTATCCCAAATAAAACATATGAAAAATGTATAGACACGTCACAATATCAAAGAAATTATTGATGAAGAATATGATCAAACATATAATTTTGAAACTGTTTCCCCAAGTACAAAAAAATATGTGTCACAATTGACACAACTACCAAGCCCAATAAAAACCAAACAAAGTACAAAATATGAAAAACTTTTAGAAACAGTTATGAAACAAAAAAAACTATTGGCACAGAAGCGTCTTAAAATATCACGTCTGATAAAACAAAATGCAAATTCCAAAAAAAACAAAAAAAAATTGGATCCAAGTACTTTGATTAATAACTCTGTATTTAACTCAAAAAATTCCAAAGCACTTGTCACTATGCAGCTTTTGCATAACAAAAAAAAGCCATGGACACAAGCCGAGAAAAATGTTGCTACATCTATATATTTTAAATCCCCATCAACATATAGGTTTATGAGAAGAAATAAGATAGTTTTACCCGGAGTGACTTCTATTCAGCGATGGCTTAAATCGTTGATGTATTTACCAGGTTTTGTAACAGAATATAATTCTCAATTGACATTAATGTCTAAAGTAATGACTGAGCAAGAAAAAAAATGTGTAGTGTTAATTGATGAAATGTCAATAAAAGCGTGTCTGGAGTATAATAAATCATTAGATTTCATTGAGGGCTATGAAGATCTAGGGCATTTGGGTTGATCAGAAAAGTCTACAAAACTTGTTCTTGTTGTAATGATACGTGGACTTTATAACAAATGGAAACTACCTTTTGCTTACTGTATTAGTAGTACTGGAGTCACAGGTGATCAAATGGCCAACATTGCAAGAACTAGCATTGTGAAACTATGTGAAATTGGATTTTCACCAAGTATAATTACGTGTGATCAAGGTACAAGTAACCGCAAAATGTTTTCCTTGCTTGGAGGGACTCCTGAAAATCCATATACAGTAATTAACAGCAAAAAAATTTTCTTAATGTATGATATTCCTTATTTGATGAAAAGCGTTAGAAATAATCTGCTTACAGGAAATATCATACTAACAACAAATGAAGGCGAGAAAAAAATATGTTTCAATGATTTCCGTGAAACATATAAAATTGACTCATGTAGCAAAACGACAAGAGCAATGTGTAAAATTGATCAACGGCATTTGTATCCGAATCCATGGCATAAAATGAGTTGCAAACTAGCTTTACAAGTCTTCAGCAACACCGTCAGTGCAGCAATAAAAACTGCCATTGAAACCGGTGAATTAGTTTCTTCGACAGCACAAGACACAGCAAATTTTTTCCTCCAGTTAAACAATCTATTTGATGTCCTGAATAGCAAACATTTATACGATAAAAACCCATACAGAAAACCGCTAAGTGAAAAAAATTTAAAGGGCTTCTCAATTATTTATGAAGCATTGGAAATGTTTAAAAATATTAAAAAACAAAGTTTTAAAAATAAGTCAAATGCCAAAGATAATATCCCACCATGCTTCACTGGGTTTGTTTGGTCTTTGAATGCAGTATTGGAACTTTATGAACATGAAAAAAGTACAAATCCATCACCAATAAACTTCTTCCTTTTGACAAATAGACTGTGTCAAGATGCACTCGAAAATCTATTTTTAATTTTCAGACAACGCTGTGGGTACAATAGAAATCCAACTAGCAAATCATTCAGATGTGGTTTTGCAAGTATTTGTTCCTTTAGTCTTTTAAATTGTGCATCTGAAAAATCAAATTGTTAGGATGATGAAGACAATTTTTTAACACCAGAAATATTAACTGACTTACTCATTGATGATACGCCACAGGATAAAGATATGGACGTTACAAAAACTACTTTTATAGCCTCTTCTAGTGATTCAGAAGATACATATGATTGTACAGAAAATGAATCACTAAAAATGTCTTCTTTGTCATTAGAAAAATGTTCCTTAGAATATTACGCAGGAATGCAGGATATTTAGCTATGAAATGTTTCAAAAAAATCCAATGTAATAAATGTTATCAGTTAATTAATACAAACAAAAGCCTCGTTGACAAAGATCAATTTGTTTATATTACACAAGACATTTGATCATATTGAATGGGCATCTACAGATGTAGGTTTAAAAGCACCCACTAAAGAATTAGTAGATTTTGTTCATGAAAGTCTGAAGGTATTTCAAAATTACTATGAAAATTTAAAATGGAAAAACAATTTGGTATCCACATTGGTAAACATGGCTGAAAATAAAATAAAAAACAGTTTATTAGAAAATATATGTCAAAAAGAAAAAAAATTTATATTAAATAATTTATTTACTATTCGAATCTATAAAGAATGCAAATGGTCTATGGATAATGTAAAAATTATAAATAAAGGAAAACAAAACTCTAAATTAAGTATACTTCAACATAAATAAGGATTTTTTATTATTATTATTATTATTATTATCATCATTCTATATATCTACCTATACTCAATTGTTATTAAATATAATAAATAATAATAAATAATAAATTATAATTTAGTTAAATATTAATTTGTTTATTATATAATTAAGTGCTTAATATTATTATTATCTTTGTTATTATTATAATTTATAATAATGTATTTGTTTTTCAGTTGTATACTGTTATTATTATTCTTTATGTTATGTACAAATTTAATTTGCATTTATTTAAATTTGGTACAATTATACGATATACCATTGAGTATCTATACTCAATGGATATACCTAAGAATAATATGTTTTTAAATCTTAAATGTTTCAAATAGGTACGTTTAAAATATATGTTAATTTTATTTAATGATTTTACTTTATAATTTATTAACACATTTTACAGATTTAAAATTTATAATTTATTTAATCCACCTACATATGTATATAATCATTAGGTATTTAATTTTAAAATGTTGATTTTTTTAACATGTTACTTTTATAGTTTTATCTAAAATCTTAATAATTAATATATAATTAATTCATTAAAATTGAAAATTTAATACCTACCAATAATAATTTTTTAACCTTCAAAAATAAAGAAAATAAAAATAGTGGTGTATGAAATTTATGTTGAATTATACTTGTAAATCTTAAGGAAATAACAAAGGAAAATATGGTTAAAAAACAATCACCATTCACCATACATATAGATGAGGTAGCATAGTAATTTCAATAGTTTTTATTTGGTTATGAATGTTATGATAACTTATTAACAAAAATATGAGAATTTAAAAAGTTGTATTTATTTGAATTAAACTAAGATAATCCTTATTCATTTCACAAAAAAATTTATGATGTAAGTATGTAACATTCAATAGAAACGTAAACAATTTAATGGTGACATGATATTTTAATTTATTACAATAATAAATACTTAGGACTTACCTATCTACAAAGTTTCCATTGAAAATATTTTTCACTCAGACAGAATTTGAGTTCGGAGTATCCTGATACTCCGAACTCAGAGCTCGAAGACGGTTTGGCGAACGTGCAATCGGCGCCAATTGCTATATTATGGTTTATGATTCTCGAATTGTCAAATAATTTAGGTGCAATACTATACAATAGTTTATACCGTTATCGTTTGTCTTCAAGACTCTTGTCTCATAATTCATAAATCATAATGCTTGATATTTTAACTGTCAAATTTGAAGTCTTGAACGAGCATTTTTATATTAGTATAGATGAAACACGAAAATATTATTTCAAAATTTTTATTCGATGTTTAGTTAATAAATATAGAACCCGAAAAAACCAAGCGTGTGTCGCGACTCGCGAACGACGCGAACCCGTGCGCATAGTGCCTCGCCCCGCGCCCTCCACTCACTAGTGCCACACAGCCCATGCGCGGGCGAATTAGGTATTTCTATTTATACCAAAATTTAAAATCCCCATAATGGCATAATAATATATAGATCTTCTATTATCTAAGAAAATCCACTGGTCTCTTTCCGGAAATATATATATCTGTATTCTGTATACATGAAATTCTTGATAATATCATTATTATGTTTGGTTATTGGCAGGGACGACGCTAGGATTTGCGGGGCCCTGGGCAAAATAAATAACAGTTTATATGTGGTCTTCTGAAAGCTATATAGGTACACAAACATTTTTCTCTTAACTCCGCTCGAAAACTAGATTACATATTATCCAAACTAACTAGGTACCTACTTAATAAATCAATTTTATCAAATATCAACCATCAATTTATACATAATATTATATTATATTTTAATAAATTATTATAAAATAATTTTAAAATGTAATCAATATAACAGAAAATAAACACATTTAACCCAAAATTTAAATACCATAATTTAATAGGTAAATTATGAAATTATACATTCACTCACTGTTCTCATACCTATTATACCACTCTTAGATATTGTAGTAACCAAGTTACTACCTACGCAACTGTCAAAATCATCTCAAAAGGTATTATATCTAGTATAACATTTTATAATTACAAATAAAATAATATAAAATAGATATAAATTAAATACGTAATAATATAATAATATAAAATAATTATTATTAATTTTATAAATAATTATCGGACTGTAGTGACAAAACCGAATGTTAACACTCGCAAGGCGATTCTAGGAATCACACAGAATAGACGTTTATCTGTGTGAATATTTTATATTATAATATTTATATTTTTAATACTTATTAGTTATTAATTATTTTTTTTTTTTTTTTAATTGATCTTAAGCCCGGCAACTATGGCCACTAGCTGTATGGTTTTTTGTAGGTTTTTATGTTGGTTGGGAGGAACACGTGTGTGTTGGGTTTGGCAGAATTTTGAATGGGGCACCCGTAGGTTTCTGCCATGCCCCGGAGTGGGGGATGGCGGCACTTGTTCCCCGGACATTATTAATTATTATTAATACTATAGAATGTAAGTTGAATCAATATTATAAAATTACAACAAAATAGGTAACTAAAATCGTTATTCTTGGTTATTTAATATGTAATTTCCTCCAAATTTGAACATAAAATACCTAACTATATAAAAATAAAAACCGTGATTTATATTTTTAAGATTTTTTGGTTACAAAATAACCCACTTACGTCTACGTGGTACCTTGTTGTAAGTTTTCATTCCTTAGATATAAAATTTGAACATTCAAAATCCGATTTTGAGTAAAAATTCTCGTTTTTCCTTAATTTTTATACTCAGTTTCGCACGGGTATCGTTACCAAACACACGTGTTTTACTTCGCTCCCGAGTTATTCGTCGACAACTTTCTCCAAACTCAATGGATTTTGTTCTAATTTGCAGTTTTAAATAAATCCAAAAAACTAAGTTCTCGCCTACGTATGGTTATCGTTTTTACAGTAACCTCAACCGTGTCAAGTCTAAAAAAAGTAAGAAATTAATTACTATTATCGACTAATTAATTACCGCCTCGAGGCACCGCTCATCCGGTGACCTTTGGACAGTAGATAACCGATAGCGGCACAATGCCGCCTAATCATCCAATTAAAAATAAATCATCCAACGACCGCACAGCTATACAGGGTGGCTCAAAAGTCTCATTGCCTTCTATCAAAATCGTCAAAACGTCTTCCTCCAAAAATTCAAACAATAACGGAAAAATATTTTTTTGAAAATATATCATTAAAATATTTGGTACTGGTTTGTTATAGCCCCGCCACGGCGAGTGAAAACTTTATAGCCCCGCCACTCAGGTTTGTTATCCCCCCGCCAT